CAATGCAATCTTATACCCATAAATATCTTTTTATCTTTCACTTTTTGTTACTTTGAGAAGAGTGCGTTGCAGGTGTGCAAAACTTCTGAAATAAACAAATTACAGCTTAAGAAGAAGGAACTGTTAGCTATTTAACTTGCACAAGACCTTCACTCTCATGGCTGATGAAAACAGGTTTTCCTTCTGCAACCAGGAACCAACTCAATCAACCAAACCATCTCGGCTACACAATGGCATCAACACAGAGATCATCCAGAACAAACCACCCACACAAAGAATGTTTTAAAGAAAAATGAAAGTGCTATCAAAGACCAGCCAGATCTTTAGACGTAGGCATTAAAAACAGCACACAATGTGCTGTGCCAGTTACCTAAATTTCTCATAGCTAAGTTACAAACAAAATGTGCAGCAATATCTGATGGTCTGACTGTCACCAAATCTTCTGCACGAAGAAACTTTTGGCCACATGTGGCTAAATAACAAACCCGACTTGACTTTTGGATGAAGAAAAACAGTGACAAACTGTTTTTCCTGAGGTAATGATTCCACATCGACCAGATACCTCAGCCATCATCATATCATCTAGAGCAGGGGTGCCAAATCCTGGTCCTGGAGATGTACCACCCGTTCAGATCCAGCACACCTGGCTCTATTATATACTGAAGGCCTTCATTAAATGGATCAGGTGTGATAGGTCAGTGCTGAAGCTAAACTCTGCAGAGTGGTAGACCTCCAGGATCAGAATTGAGCACCCCTGACCTAGAGCAAAACCACAACATGCAAAACAATAAACGCAATTAGTCCAAACAGTCCTGTCGATCAAAAACTAACCAGCATGACCTCAAAATGTAGACGTTGATATTGACACGTCTTGGCAGTTATCTTCCCATTTTTTAGTTAGTTCCACAGGAAATGTGCAGTTTAAATATACATGGAAGAACCAACACAAAGCTATTGGCACATTATCAGTATTAACCTTTCATTCTGAACAGTGCTTTCTGGAGCAAAACCACTCTTGGTACCACCCTTCAAAGGTCACCTAAATCAGAAATCATAATGCATTTTCCATTCATTGACACAGTATCAGTGAGGGTTTCTGAGCTAGCTGAGTGTTAGGTGACTATAGTAAAACTAAGATGTTTTAGAGGCAGTCAGAAGTCATTAAGAAGTTGATGGTATTGGGCGGGTGCTCAGAAAAACGTACTTTGATGTGCAGTAAATTGTTATAATGATACATACCATCATAGTGCCCGTCTCTATTACAGGAAAATAAGAATTTTGTCTTTAAAAGCCAAAGTACACCAACTAGACACACATAAACAAACATGAACATTCCGATGTCCGCAGCCATCTTTGGAATGTCCAACTGATAAGCCAAATGAATGGAGTGAATGGAGAGAGAAAATTCTAGTGTTTTTTTAATCAAACACAGTTATGGCACACCAACCAGATGTGTTTGTTCATCCAGTAATTGCACTCTAGCTTTTATTTGATATGGATGGTATCTGATGAATTGTGTTACATATGATCAGGCACATGACCCAAGGCAGAAAAGGCCCATTTTAATTGAAGTTTCACTTTATCTCATTAAAATCTGCACCCACAATAGCAGGTGTGTGCATGTCCATGTTGGTCAGCATGTGGAATTAGAGCTTTTATGTGCTACTGTTTTCTATCACTGTACAAAAGTATGCTGCCTTTATCGTTGAACGCAATGCAATAGTTTTATTATTGCATCAAACATTCTATATTGGATTTGTTTCATCAGAGTAACAAAAGTGTTAAGTATATTCACATCCTTGTGATTTCTGGCTCAAAATGGTAGTTTGTGAAACAAAAAACGGAATTTTTAGCTTTGTAAATAAACGCAACATCAGTAGATAAAGTAGATAAAAAGGCCCCGGCATTGAAGGGTTAACTTTCAACAGGTCTGTGACTGCCTTTGTTATGTATTAAAGCATAACCAAAGAGGCAGGTCCCAAAAAAAACAAAACAAAAAAAAAAACAACCCCAGACAATGAATGACATCAAAGGATTGGAGCTCCTATTGTCCTTTAAACCTTTAAAGGCTCCAGAACCTGTCGTGATGACCTCACAGCATGAAAAGGAGAATGATCTCATCACAGACCTGAGTCCAGTCGCGTGTGAAGAATGAGCATTCTCAGAGAGGACGTCCCATCACTGCTGGACTGACACAGGCCAGTGTGAGTAAGAGGTTCAGACATTCTTCTAAACTTCCTTTGTGCTTTTACTCTCCATGTCTTACAGCAGGAAGTGACAAAGCTGGTAAGCACTCAGATATAGCCAGATGCCACTGTGTCACATTAAAGTGACCTAAATCTGGAAGTAAGTAATACACATTTTTAACACATGATATCAACAAAACGGCTGAGGTCATTCACTTTGTTGTCAAATTGTTGGATTTGTTAGTTCTTACTTTCATTACTTATACCATTTAAATGTAATTATATATTTAATTACATAGTAAGTTACACAACTGAATACATTTATGTTTTGTATCAACAGGTTTGAGTACAATTTTTACTCAGTTTTCTCCCCAACTTGGTCATTGCAAATTACTAAGGCTAGCATGTCCTTCCTCCAAGACACATGAAGCTCCACTGCATCATTTCAAAATACTGCTAGCACGTGATCAGACAGCTAAACATGCTTGGAGGAGAACACTAACTGACAACTCACCAACACGTCACGTCACCAAACAGATGCCTGCGCTGGCTAGTGATGGCAGGATTGGGGGCCATCCTAGTTACCTAGAAAGCATGCTAATTATGCTCTCTAAGACTTGGTTGGCTGCGGCCTCGCTTAAATCAGGGGTGTACAATCTTATCCACAAACGGCCGATGTGGCTGCAGGTTTTCATTCCAACAAAGCAGGAGATCACACGATCACTCGTTTGAAAACTGACCGGTTGATTAAATAAGTGGAGTCAGGTGTGCTTCTACTTGTTTGGAATGAAAACCTACAGCCACATCGGCCCTTGGGGCATAAGATTGGACGCCCTTGGCTTAAATGGTCATGCCACCCGAAAGCAGAAGTACAACTTCTAAACATTACAGGAGGATGTAGTATTTTACTTCATTCATTGCAATGTTATCGTAAAAGTAATGGTGAGGACTAAAACAAGACAATTAGACATGGTGTATTGTGAAAACAGCTTTATCTTATTTGAGATCTGCAGACATTAGTTTCAGAGAGACATGAAAACTACAGAAGAACGTGTTAACGCATCTCATTTTAATTCTGCTGCCAACCATAGAGGGCATGCAATGTCTTAGTAGTGATTTTCACTTTGTCATCTCTAGAACTGTGGACAGGACAGGAGCAGCATTCTCAGTTCAAATGTGAGCGGCATACATATATGAGACATACATATACATATAATTTGCGCCGCTAATTTGTAAGAGAGTGTGCAGGAAACGAAAGAAAGCTCAAATTAATCATAAATCCTCATTTTTGACATGGCACAATGTCAATTCCTTCCAATGGCAGCGAGCACCCGTTCATTTCTTAGCGTGTAATGGCATTGTTGAGCTCTGTCGTAAACATGAGGGTGGCACTGTCAACAGAAATCTTCACCACCTCTACACCCCCCAATAATACTGAAAACATGAAAACAGAAAATACTCAAAAGAAATAAAAAAATACCTAATAAACACAGTGTAACCACCACAGACAATCAATGAGAAAATACAATATGAGAATACTATGAAATAACAAATGATTTGGGTGATTGACCTTTAAGTTTGTAAGTGTGCAAATGTAGCTGACCTACAAGCTCATTGGCTGTAACTGTGAGACAACTGGAATCTCATGTTTTTCTAAGTGCCATTAGATTGAATTTTAAACCACAATACTGGCCCTCTGCTAGTATATTAAGTTATGAAGCAGTATGAACACTTTTGAAATGAGGGCTTAAGATTCTTGGTACGTGTAACTCCTGCCAAGCAGCCAGACGTGTACAAGAGCAGTGTATAAGAGCCTGTAAACTGAGGAAGTAACAGCTAATAGGCCCTAACTATTTCCTTTACCTTTACTCTGTAGATGTCCTGGATTGTTTTGAATTGCACTGTATCTTCAATGAGGTTACCTTAAGAGTGGTCACTATCGCGCTGAACATTAATGGATGTGACATCTGCTAACTTACACAGAGAAAGACACTGATGGTCCATGAAAACACAGTCTGTGTCACAGCAGACCTGAGATACAGAAATATCTGCAGTGTTTGAGGGTCTTCTCAGTAGTTCAGGATCTATACCCAACATATGAATAAAATGAAGCAAATTGGAATAGGAAATATGACCACCATAGAGGATAGAATGCCTCATCAAGATGTAATTTGGGTGCATTTTGTTTTCTCTCTGACCCATACCATTTGCAGAAGAATTGTTTTGATTATATAGATAAAAGATTTCAGAATGAAATCCATTGATTAAACAAAATTGCTGGAAAAAGAGGTATTTCGCAAGCTAATCTCTACTTGCTGCATCTGTAGCATATGGTCAATTACCGTAGATCATTTTTGATGCATTTCCCAGTATTTAGTTAAAGGACAGAAACCTCACTCACCTCACGCATAAAAGGAGCCAGTGGGCAGGTGCTGTGGTGCGCTTTCAGTCAACAGATTTTCTGTTATATTCTAAGTACGGGGAAATTGCTGTCCATGGTAATGAACCATATGCTACAGACACAGCAGATAGAGACTGGGTTGGAAAAGGCTGGAGCTTTCCTTTAAAGATGGCTGGTAACAGGTCCCATCTATTGTACTTCTTTGAAAACAGACCAAAAACACTTGTTTTCCCTCCTCAAACGCTGCAAATACACAACTGGCTCAGGTCCAGACAGCAGCACAGAGAGAGAGAGAGAGAGAGAGAGAGAGAGAGAGAGAGAGAGAGAGAGAGAGAGAGAGAGAGAGGAGAGAGAGAGAGAGAGAGAGAGAGAGAGAGAGAGAGAGAGAGAGAGAGAGAGAGAGAGAGAGAGCAAGAGAGCAAGAGAGAAAAAAAGAGAAAGAGAGGGGAAAAAAAAAAAGAGAGAGAGAGAGAGAGAGAGAGAGAGAGAGAGAGAGATTTAGGCCCAGGCTCCGCAGGAGACGGCTGAAGTTGTACTACTGGGTCCGGAGTTGATAGTCTGCAAAGAAACAAGGAAATGAGCCATGTTTAATTAAAGCATTTGGAACGGCAGGAAATTGGGGGGGGTGGGGGTGGGGGGGGATAGTTTAAAAAGTTAATTGTGACAGCTGAGCTTTTCCGCCCAGCCGTCCAAGAGCACAATGCTAAATAAGACTGGGTTTGGAGGCAGAAGATAACCTGATGATACTGGCTTCAATTCAGGATATGAGAGGTGGGTAACAGGAGAGGGAAACAAGCTGCACCTGCCTCAACTCTCAGAAGATTTAACTCTTGTACTATTTAAAATTATAGCATCACTGTTAGATCAAAACTTCATAACTTTTTACCAATATCATATGAAAACAATGGCTGTCTTTACATCGTTTGAAGGGTTTTCGACAAATGGACTAATAGAAATGGTCCAAAATGACTGAGGAAAAAAAAAAATTCTTAAATTTAAAAATGTGTTTTCTGAAAAGCTCCCATTCTGGAGATGCAAAGTTTTGTTCTGACAGCGAAAACACATTTCTTTTGTTTTATAATATATAACTAAGGATGCACCAATATGACAACTGTGTGCCTTCAGCCCTATTCAGATTGGGTCAGCAAAAAAATGACCACAGGACGAGCGAGTTTCTACTAGGCTGTATTTTATTTTATCAAAACTTAACATTTGATCTTAATGGGACTGACTATGAAACAACTAGTCATTATTTTAAGAACATTCATTTAGTTGATATTGTGCTTAAGTGAAAAAGTAATGCCTTATACCTGTAGCTGCCATTATAACTGCCCCCTAAATGAGCTTGTGGGATCTCGTTTTTTTTCTGATTTATTTGATTTTCTTTCACCTATTGATCCTGCTCTCCCAGGCAGAATCAAAGTTTTACCACATGGACCAAGATAATGGTTGAGTGATGCTTCGAAAGGATCTATTTTTCAGTTCAGTTTTTATTGTAATGTTTCCATTTTTAATATCTATGGGAGATATGTGTCTCTGATACACATTCTAGGAGACTAACTACAACGAATAGCAGCAGTCAAAAATCTTTTTTTTTCTTCCAACTCAAAGAGGCAGCTGCCTGGAGAAACACGGAGATGCGTTTCTGAGTTTGGTGAAGAACAGTGGGTAATTCAGCCTGTAATTTTCTCAGGGTAGCATGGAGAAAAACAGAGACATGTCTGTAATAACAACCTCTCTGGATAAATAATACACTGGTATAATGGTATATATTTATTTTATATAGAATTTTTTCCTGATATTTCCAGAATTTTCCTGATTTCATTATTTTTATTCTTTTCCAAACTAAATGACCAACATCCTGCAAAATTGCAGTACAGAATGTACTCTTACTCCATCTTCCTAATATCTGTCAGCACAGCACCTCTGCAGAGGCCAGAATTATACCTCTGAGTGAAACATCCTCTTTTCACAGAAACATTACATTTCAGCCCTCGACTATCTATCGTTCGACTTTTACCAAATTGCCTAATTATTGCCCAATACCTGCAACACTCTGAAAAACAATGACAAATATAGAGCTGGAGAAAGTTGAGTGTGAGAACTGGTATATGCGGGGGAGGATGTGTGCATTTTACTAGTGTGACAACTAACTGGAGTGTGATTTCTAATAATAAATTGAATGAATACTGATCTACAGCTGTCCTCAATTCTATGCTGTGGAACTGCTGTTCGCTGGAGTTATGTTTTTCTTGCTTTATCAGAAATCTTGTTGTGATACGGGTAGTGTACTGTTATCTAATGTTTTTATCTTTATCTAATGTTTTTGTGCAAATGCACGTGAGAGAGAAAGAGAGAGAGAGAGCGAGAGAATGCACATGAGCATGTGATTCGATTTTATTCTGCTTACCTCCATTCTGGGTGATGTATCGTACCCATGGCAGTGCCTGGTATCCGCTCTTCTCAATGATCTTCAGGTAGCGCACCTGTTGAACACAAACCACTTCATTAAAGCCACTATTTACAAGACAAAACTACATTAAAATGCAACTTAAATGCAAACAACTGCACTCAAATGCAACAATTTGGGCACCTCTAATAAAATACTATGAATCATATAAAAAGAAAAAAAAAAACTGCTGCCTTTAGACCGTGTGATGATTTAACAGTGAACAGACCAGCTTCAGGAATATTTTCAATGTTTTTTCCTTTGAAAAGCTTCAATTTGGAGACACCAGGTTCTGTTCTGACAGCTACATTTTGTTTTGACAGCTATGATACATTTTTGCTTTGTAATATATCATAAGGAACGCATGTACAATGCATGCAGTCTAATGCAAAAGTATGAGCACCCCTGGTCAAATTACATGTTTAGCTGATTTTCTGGGTGAACGCATCCTGTACAGGAAACAAACTTAATTTACTTTCGGTAAATTTTAGCACACAATATCTGTTTATTTGCTGTTACTTCAGTTTAACCTTGGGGGAAAAAAACATAAAAATGTTCCATTACTTTTGCGCAGGCCACATTTTGTTAAAATGTGCATTAAAATTTGCAGAAGTGTGTGCTCTGTACAGCATGTGTTAACTTGCTGTCAGAAAAATCAACAAAACTTCATTTTTAACTATTTAGAAAATAAAAAAAAAATTAATTTGACTGGGGCACCCAAACTTTTGCATATGACTGTACCATACATCCACCCTACACTCGACTATTGATTCATTTGCATAGTCCCTTATCACCCCATGGGCTTTAACCACAATACACTATATCTATTTTAAAAAATTACATAAATTAAATAAAGACATACAGCTGTATGCAGAAGTTTGAAAACCTCTGGTCAAACATGTTTTGTTGATTTTCTACAGAGAACAAACTTCTGCACATTTCAATGCACAATTACTGTTTATTTGCTGAATCTGGCATATTGAAGAAAAAAAAACAAAAAACAAAAAACATAAAATGTGGCCTGTGTAAAAGTTATTGCACTTTATATTTTATATTTTTTTCTTCCAATATGTTAAACTTAGCAAATAAATAGAAATTGTGCACTAAAATTTACAGACAAATTCTTAAGTTCAGTAAACAGAGAAGATGTATTGACCTATTGACCTAGAGACCCAACAGATACATGTCATCTGACCAGGGGTGTTCAAACTTTTGACTTACTGTAAATTTATGTTAAAGTGTAATTTCAGAAATCTTTGAAATTACAGACACTCATGCATTCTGGCCTTTGCAGTGCTTATTGCAAATGAACTTCTAACCAATTCAGGATATTGGTCATTTTGATAGATCCACTGAATGCAAATAACTGGGTAAACAATAATCTTTCAGGTCACACTATGGGCTTGATATTGTATTTTTACCACATACTGCAATTGCAACATGTATCAATATAACCGCAATACGGCACTGTGTACATATTGTGAAGTCAAGGAACGTCCTGCATGGGTACGATGACGGTGGCCCCAGAGCCTGGGAAAGTAGTAGAATGTATACAAGCAGAGGAAGTGTTTGAAGAAGTGAGATTGAGGAAATGGCACCTTTTTCTCTGCAGAGAGATATTGAGACACGCGCAGTGCCCTTCCAATCATGCATTGCATCACTGGAGTATTTGCACAATCAGCTCGAAAAGGAAAAAAAAAAATACGCTGAAAAGGCAATATGGAGCTCTGGAAGAGCTGACAAACATTCTTCATGGAGTAAATCCTGGGTCAAGAGCAGAGCAGGCATTCTAAAGGCATTTGGTAGATGATCAAGAGAAGCTTTCAGCAAACTCCCAAAGTATATGCATGCTAACATTAAATGCCCTATCATCTGTAGAGCAGTTTTGGGCTGCATTCTCTAAGGACAGACCCAAACCTCCCAGTCTCAGGGTCCAAAATAGCATCTATATGAGCAAAATAGCAACAGAGCTTTTCTAAGAACAAAATCCATATTCTCAGTATGCATCAATACAGGGCTAAAAAAGCAGAGCTTAAAAATGGCCTCTCTCAGGACTATTTCCAATCAAAATTGGAGGAGAACCCTGGAGAACCACCTCCGCGGAGACACTCTGGCGGCTATTTCAGGCCGGCCGTGCGTGGAGTTGAGTGGGTCGGAGCAGTGCCACCCTTGGGTGCAACGGGGCACTATTTAAAACTTAACAGGCCTCCCTTTTGGACCTACCCATGGACTGGCAGAGTGACGAGACAACTCTAAATATCTAAATGTAGCTTTCTCTTCGCGGCCTTTTGGGCCAGAGCGTACGCGAACGTAGCGGTTAGGTCCCTAGGTTCTCGGCAGGCCGTGTTTGGGTCATGGCTCCAGTCAGGTCCTGTAGTCCTGGGCCAATATGGTGCTGGGGTTACAAGAAAAAGCCATGAGGTATACTGTCAAACAGACTCCAGAGGATTAACTCTGGCTTTACTGGAATTTGCCAAACAAGACGAGCTAAGGGACAATGTTTGTAGCCCTTAAGGTGGCTTTGGCTCGGAGTGCTCGTGTGTTTACTGTGCACCGGTCTCTCATTAGTGTGGCATGTCCTAGTAGACGCTGTGGCCTACAGAGCATGCTCGCAGTCCGGAGACAGACCGCCAGACTGTCACTGTCCCAACAGTCACAGACATGCAGTCTAGTCACTCACTCACACTCACACACACACACACACACACACACACACACACACACACATACACACACACACACTTATACACTCCCAAAAGCCTGTGCTTGTAAATCTCCACCTCAGTACTGGAGAGCACGGCTGCTGAGTCAGCATTCTCCTCGGGCCGCTTGTGCACAGCCAGTGGGTAAAGGCTATTTCAGTGATGGCTCAAACTCTAGACTCAATAAATCAATGTCTGCAGTGAAAGAAAGCCTGTAAAAATGTAGTGTGATCGTGATGTCTAACTAACAAGCTAAATATGAAAAGAAAAAGTTAACCAATATCTTCCAGAAAATATCTAATTATCACAAGATATGTTTTAACAAATGTCAATTATGAGACAGAACATCTCATAATTATAAGAAACTATCAGGTTGTTCTAATTCATTTATGACTATGGTGGGCCCAAATAATTTGAACACTCGTTTTCGTTCATTATGCTGGTATTCCTTTAGTGTTTACTCTTTAGTACACTTTAGACCCCACCAGAATACAACACTCTTGAGTTAGAGGCTTATTTATTACTGTTTTAAACCAAAACAAGAAGAAAAAAAATGGTAGTTACTTAATGATGGATGTGACACTAGGCTATAAAAACAAAACCTTAGCTTAAGGCTAAATATACAGCCATACTCCCTCCTGATTTAATAAATCATTGTTTTTCTTGCAAGTCTTTTTAATATGTACTAACGTACTTTGCTTTAGTCTTTTTTTTTAAGTTAGTACACATTAAAATGGCAAAAAAAACATTTAAACAAAGAGAAAAGGCCAGATATACTATGTTTGTCATAGTTTTGACTGTTGAACCACATTCAGGTGTAGAAGTTGAACATCCTCAGTCACTCGATTAGCCTCCGCAGAGCTGCGAGGCCAATACAGCACATAAATCTACACGAATGTGGTATAAAACACTGAAATTACTTGTAGAGTCCTCAACGAATGAGATTTTTGTTCGCCTAACGACGTTATTTCACTCGTGATGGAACTGAACTCAGAGCACTAAGTTAGCAGTGGAATATGAACCTGATTGCATTCAGCAAACCAGCTAAATGGATCATGAAAACGCATCACTGAACAAAGATTTTGAAAGATTTATGTCTTGAACATGTTTCTGTAATCGCTGCTATCTCAGTAAGAAAAACATCCATTCACCTGTCCCCTTATCTGACATTATATAACAGCATGTCTGTCTCTTGGCATCTTTGGGATGTCCATCATAAAAAAGTGAGGAACAAATGTGTAACTATTTGCTACAAATCAAAAACTGGAATACATCATTGAGTATCTGAAGTCTGTAAAATTCAGCACTAATAAGGATGTATCTTTTTTTACATCTCATTATAATCATAAATACAAAAAAAAAAAAGATCTTGTTTTTATGAGATAAAACAAAAAAAAAAAAAGTGTGATTATGACCCTGAATACACACAATCACTATGTGAAGATTATTTTGCAATTTTATTTCACATCACATAATTAGGATATAGATGCTCTATGTAAAAACACCACTTAAAATAGATGTACATGTAAATGACCTAATTGCAAATATTGGTAACCAATAATATGTTAAAAATACAGGATAAACTGCTCATTTACATCATGACAATTTTTTAAAATTATTTTTTCTAATGTATTTGCTGACAGTTTGTTGTCAGCTTCTCTCGATAGTAGGTTTGCAATGTGAAATATTTTACATTTGGAACGTTCTCATACTTGGGATATATAGACAGATGAATGGAGAAACATTCATAGGATACAGGAGATGATTTACCATGTGGCATGCATAAAAATGTTTAGCAGATCCAGTTGTCTTCAAATGTGGATCAAGACGGTACGAGGTAAAGATGCAAATGCTTCTGAAAAAAGCGTTCATTATTGGGGCACAGATGACAGGAGCTTCAGTCACAAAGACTGATCTACTGGCTAGAGTTTTAACACGAACAGTGACTAAAGTGACACCTGCATTTACATCTATGGGAAAGACAACAGCAAACAGGGTAGGAAACTGTGGTTGAAAGTGTTTGTACATTAGAGCGATATGTGAAGAAAAACAGAAGAGCAACTGTTCCTCAGGTGACTGAGAATGTCAATACGGGACGTGATCAGACTTGGTCAGCAAGAACACTCCATCCACAAACTACACACAGCGGGATGTTATAGTAGAGTTGCAGTGCATCAACCTGTCATTACAAAGACGAATGCACATTTGAGAGTTCAGTGGTGCTTAAAAAAACATAAAAAGGAATCTGGTCAGATGAGTCATCATTCACCACGTTCTCCAAGTGGGCGAGTGCATGTGTGGTGTACACCAAGAGAACAGAACAGGTCTGAACGCT